CTGTGACAATTTCATCAGAAATAGTCCGTGACTGACCGAGTCAAAGGCCTTCCTAAAGTCTGGGAAGCACACTTCAACACGTTCACCCCTGTCAAATCTGTCCGGCACTGCATCCAGGTAGACTAACAGATTTGTTAGGCAGGACCTACCCCGTCTGAATCTATGCTGAGCTTCCGTCAGTAAGTTGTTCGCTGTAAAACGACTGGTAATTTTGTCACGAATCACCCTGTCTATAAGCTTTAGTACAACTGAAAGTAGGCTCACTGGCTTTCAGTTTGAGGCGGAGTCTCTGTCGCCCCCATTATAGATTGAGGTGACTATGGTCGCTTTCCAGTCACTTGGGGGGTTGCTGCCTCGAGTGACTTGATAAAAAGCCTAATGAACATGCTAGAATACAGTTCAATGGTTTAAGGACCGCCTGGTGTGTCATCTGGGTATGCAGATTTGTTTCTGTCTAACGCTTCGATATTTTCCCCAACTTCCTGTGGCTAGCTGAGGAGTTTATCCGTAGGGCAACCCGTCTTGATACTGTGTGCCGGCAGGATATTGCCCATGGCCTTAGTGTACAACTCTTGAAAATGATGTTATAGAGCGGGAACCTTTTCTAAGCTAGCGATCGTTGAGTTCTTACCGGCGTCGCGGATGAATCTGATAGCTTCCCTAGTGGCCGCCTTAGACAATACATAACCGTAGTATGCTTTCGGACACGTTTTACCCTTCGTTGCCAGTGTGAAGTCGTAGTGTTTCTTTGAATCTGACTGGGCCCTGTCGTAGGTCTTGTGCTCCTTTAATTACTGAAGGTATCTCGAGTGGCCGTTGGTGGCGGTAAACCTCTTCCAGGCTGCTCGCTTTCTACTCAGGAATTTAGCTAACCGTCGAGACCACCGCGGCTTATTGGGTCGACCATGTGAACGCAATGGTGCAAAGGCATCGGCCAACGAGATGAGATTCGTTTCAATTCGGTCCCAAGTCTCGTGGACATCTGTCACTTGCACCGGCCATTGGAGTTGTGACGCGGCCAAAAGGAAACCCTCAGTGTCTAACGCTCTGTCGCAGTGACTGTATTCTAGCCTTGGAGCGCGTAGACTACAGACGTATCGGAAACAAACAGTCGCGTGATTACTTCTACCTAGCGGTGATCCTTGTTCTAAGTTCACGATTTCATTTACACCCTTGGTGAATACTAGATCAGGATGTTGGGTGGGTTACCTGGTTTCCATCTTGTTGGGTGCTTGATGTGTAGTAACAGGGCAGAGTTGAGTACTAGGTCAAGCAATTTCTCTTCAAAACTGCCGGGTGGTGCGTTTTCCGTCGGCCAGTCAACCTCGGGAGCATTTAGATAGCCTCAAGGCAGAACCCTGTTGGCTTGTCCCCCTACTTGCCTGAGGTAGGCGATTAACTGGTCATCCTTCTCTGTGGAGGACCGAGGACTACGTTATGTGCAAACAACTGCTACTGCACTATGCGGTTGTTTTAGCAAGCACTCGGTGGATTGGATGTTTGCTGTCCCCAGGTTAGTTATGGCTGCTTGTGTTAGTTGTTCCGCTGCAAGTATTAGGGAACCACCACCGATGCGACCGTCAGTGCGATCACATCGATAGGCCAAAAAGCCTGGTGAGTGTATTCCTGTGTTGTTGAAATCTAGTGTTAGCCACGTTTCAGTGACTGCTATGCAAGTGGCCGCCCCCGTTTCTGCTAGTATGTTGGGCCACTTGTTCAATAGACTGCAGGCGGTGGTGTAGAGAACATCGAATGTCTGCACCGTGTGTTTCCTTAACGGTAAAAGACAGCACCCGGGGCTAATGCCCGGATGTACGTCAACCAATTCGCACCTAAATGACGCGTTACCGAAACAGACACGAATCCCAAAATAAAATACGGTTGATGTTCTACGTTACTGAATTGTAGAAATCATTACAATATACACATTAAAGCAAACCTCAAATATGCGGCCAAAAGCACTCAAGCAAGCGAGACAAATATGATGTCCTGAGAGAGCCAAACAGTCACTCACGTTCTCTGACCACGCCAAATCCAAATGTGCCGAAGATCGAACTAACAGATAAAGAATAATGTATGGTGATTGTGATTGAGAAACGTTAATAGAGAAGTAACACACAGATAGAGTTATATCACCTTAAATCATCATGGGCTTGGAAGGCCATTCAAAAATTCGACATAAAATACACCGGCAACCAAAATCCTTCCTGCGCTCGTCTGAGTCAAAGGGTTGGGGCAGGTCATTGATTCTCGTCTACCTTTCTACCTACGTGGTCCCTGCTGTCAGTCCTTCTAACTACGAACTGTTCGACCTTCGCCGCAGCCGTTGATCTTGACCTCCAATGACTTGCACGTTCCTTCGTCGAGATCTGCCCCTTCATCTGCATGCTTGCAGCCAGTCGCACGAGAGATTTATAACGGTGGGTCAAATGAATATCATTACAGATAAAGTCTCGATGTGTAAACAAGGAAGGGAAAATGTGGACGATGCAATTAATGTTTACGTTTACAAATAAAATCATGTTCAGCATGCAGGAGATAGTGTGTATGTGAATGGATGAATGTTGTGAGGACATGGGTCACACCTTTGAGGTTCATGTCATGAATTGTGTATCAATCAAATAAAAAGACACTGAGTCCCGAAAAAGAAATAGAGAGGACATATGGTAAGGACGTGGAAGCACGTGTTCGTACAGGTGGGGTGAATATCACTGGAGAGCAATTAGTATTAGGGGCAGGTAAGTCAATATAATACACGGCGGGTCTCCCCAACTTCATCAAGTAACTGCATAGTGGTCATCTCCCTACAATAAACACAGCCGTCGAATGTCGCGCACCTGTTCACCGGCAGATGTTTCAATTTCATTGATTTTATTAGTCCGTCTCGGTCCGTGTGGCTTTCTGTGACTACACCCACTGGCCAGTTATCACTTTAGAGCTTTTTGTCGGCCATAAGGACAACTTCCCCAACCTTCAGCGACCGTTTTCTATGCAACCACTTCTATCGAGCTTGAAGGATTGGGAGGTACTCTCTTGTCCAACGCTTCCAAAACACATGCTAGGTAGTTTGCATGCTTCCAACCCGATGTATAGCAGCCACTAATGTCTTTTGGCATATCTAAGCCATCATTGGACCTCAATAGCAGAAGGTCACTCGGAGTTAGTGCCAGTCCTTGCAGGTCATCGCTGGTGATGGTTACAACCGGTCGGTTGTTGAGTATCATTTCGGCCTCTACCAGAAATGCACTCAAAGTAACATCAACCGGCGACTGTTGCTCACATTATGCTGTCAATATTTTTCGTACCGACCGTATAAGCCGTTTCCAAACTCCTCCGCGGTGACTTCTGTAGGGTGGGTTAAAGTGCCATTGGGTTCCAGATGGCGACAGTCGGTCTTACAGGGCGTATTTGTCTAACCGAATCAACCAGCTGCTTAACTCCTTTTGTGCATCGACGAAATTGGAGAACACAATCGACGGATTGCCTCGTCTACCCACAAATCTCTGCCAGGCCATAAGAAAGGAGTCGGTCGAAATGCTGTGTACGATCTCTATATGCAAAGCTCGTGACTGTGGGCAGGTCATCAGGCAACCGTACCTTTCATCCATTGATGACTTTCGTCTCTCCCAAAGTGGCCCCAATTAGTCCACTTCAATTTCGGCGAAGGGCCACCAACATGGTCGTACTCGGAAACTTGGTAACGGGGCCATCAGTTGTTTGCTGAATTTAGCATTCTGGCGACGACAAAAGAGACAGTTACCCATGATGCGCTTCACTGTAGCTCTCCCTTTCACTATCCAAAACCGATGGCGAATAGTATTAGGCAGGTGGTTTTCTCCGGAATGACCTTCTTGCATATGAATATGTATGATGATTGTGTGCGTGATGTGGTGATTTTTGGGCAAGATGATGGGGTGATAGGGAGAAGCAACTCACAGATAGAGTTATATCATCCTGAGTCATCATGGGTTTGGAAGGCTTTTCAAACATTCAACATATAATACACTCTGTTCTGTCTTATTCCCCTTTGCGCACCACTAACTCCAGCAATAGTGACGACCGCTCCTTGCTTAGTTTCTCCTTAAATTCTCATCTGGACCTTATTCCTGCTTGGGGTTGTAGAAACTGTGTTGTGTTCAATGCCAGTAAAACGTATCTTATGTCCATTTCTCTTAAACACGTATCTTTCTCCCCTTCCTTGAATTTCAACTCGAACACTGCGTTTCACAGAATCTTGCAACCTATCGGGTCTTTCCTGATTTTCTCCTTCATGCTCACTTTATTTTTATCTACTTGTTTCCCACACTTCGCGCAAAATCAGCTCCCTCTTCCGTGTCAGACGTTTATTCATCCCCATTCACCTCCTCTCGCTTTACAAAGCTCCAATTCGCCATACACTTAAACACTTAATTTATGTGTTGGGTGGAACTTCATCCACCTTTCTCTTCTTGTTCAGGTTCAACGTAAGTTCACCCGTCTCATCAACGACCCGTCCGTAACATTCAACTTGCATTCACTAGCTCACAGTCGGGCAGTAACACTTTTATCCTTGTTCTATCGATACTAGTTTGGATTTTGCTCTGATGAACTTTCCGCGTCTGGTTCTCTCCCACCTGTTCTTCCTCGTAGATCTCGCGCACAAGCGGCTAGCCACCCATTTCAATTGACTATCTCCAGGGGTCGCATTTTTAACTTTCAATCATCTTTTTTCCAAGAACAGCACAAGTGTGGAACACTCCCCGTTTCGACCCTACCTCCAACGAAGAACGTCCTTGATTTTAAGCGCAGAATCAACAAGCTGGTTCCAGTTAAATTTTCCCCATACCTACCCACCTACATTATATCTTCGGATCACGGGGTTTACCTCTTTCACTATATTGACTTTCGTGCAATAAAAAAGACACCTGATTATCGATTCTAAAGTGTGTAGGACATTTATATATACTTCGTAACCCATTGGAGTAGGGGCGATGAAGCAAATCTGCATTTTCATTACCAACCTTAGGAACGATTCCGCCTCATGTCTAGTTTTACGGGCCTCGACCCACGCGCCGTCTATGCGCGTCCGGGCAACATGGAACGGTTGACCGAAACGTTCCTTCACTATATCCCTAGCTCTGTTGTAGCCTAGTTCGTTTGACAACATTACACTCTCCTAGATTGACCTAGAAATGTTTAAGGGGAAGAAAAGTTTTCCCGAAGACCCTGTTCCTCTAATAAATCACTAGTAGCTGCTGAAGCTTCCGTCGAGCGGTGTCAGCTCCGCTTTTGGATAGACTATTTGCCGGATAACGGTGCATAACATCGTTTTAAGAGAGTTCAGGTACTTCTAGTACGAACCTAGTCAAGTGTTACTGTGAGCGTTAGTCAAGGAATCTGAACAGAAGGATTGAGTCTAGACAGGAATAGCACGCTCATTGTCATGCTGCATTCGAACGAATCCAAATTGAGCGATCAGGTTAAGATTAAAACAAATCTGGTTCGGGCGCAGCACAGGCAAACAGAGTCGAATAGTGATGCGCAAATATACAAGTAAGATGGATCGTAAACGGGTGTATGTATGCATTTATGAGGCGAGTGTTATTCAGCTAATGAAACGAAAAATCATGAAATGCAATCAAGGGTTTTATAGGGAGTATTTTTCTCGGATCGATAAATCCGGGGTCTTTTTATTCTCTTGGCGTCCTTGTGCGTAATACTCAAAGGCAAACCCGGGTTTTGCTAATGTGTGTTAGATGGAGACTGGCCTCCACTATCAATGGCATGCCTTCCCTATGTCTATTTGGTCAGCTCACTTGGATACCTGATACGTTACTACTTTTGAGGACGTCTAGGGCTTCAAGTTCGAAGATGGTACCTATACCCGTTGCTGGCCGCAACCGCTGCTCAGCTACGACACGCTTTTGGATGAGAAGATACCCTGCACTCCATCCGAATACTACCTTTGAAGAAGCAGCCCGCTCTTCTACACTTTTCGGTTTTGCGGTAACAACTCACGAGCTAGAAGCGGTGGCTGCTTTCGCTCCAACCAATTTTGGTTCTCTTCTCTTCATTTGTTTCATTTGAGTCCGTTTACGATTTGGCGTTGACCTATTCAAATGCGAACCCTGCGGCCCGTGTGCCCTTTGATGTGCAGACCTGGTCTGAAGTCTTTGCTGGGTTAGTCGCCAACTTGGATTTTACAGACTCTTCCACCCTTCATAGTGTAACTAAGGCATGCTTTAATGGCGCTACTCCCTGTCTTCCCTTGGGTGGACAGTTAGTCTTACTGACTACCGTACCATTTTCCATGGTAGAAGTTTTGACACTCTAGTGATCTTTTCTATTATCACTGCCCCAGTCAATAGACAGTCTTACTAGTGTGCAAGTTGTTGAGGGATAGAAATATTGGTCAAGGAGGAAAGATTTTGTGCATTTTCACAGCCCCACCCTATGATAGGTGACAATTCTGGGCAAAGGTGGCATACCCCTTAGCCTAAGTGCATTCTGTACAGACCGATATTTGAAATCCCTTATCACGGGATCAGCGCAGTTGAAAAGCAGTATGTCCCTAGTCCCTTCTAAGATTTCTTGGCTTGTTTATTTTAAGACTTTTATCTCCTTCGAAGGCTGACCCAACCTGGCCTTTGTGTCTTCCATGCTCTCCGAATCTGCCCCTTCAGCTACACCGGTAGCTTTTCCTTTCGTTTTAGCATCTGTCTCACTATTTCTTACTGCTTAGTTTCATACTTTGGGCCACAGCAGGGCTCGGTTCCTTAAGCTGTTTGGGCTTCTTAGAATTGCCCACAAATATAAACAGATCATAAAATTTCTTTTTGAACTAGAAACAGCGCTTATGGTATCAAAGGTGGCATCGTTTACTCCGCTACATAGTCACCACACCCTTCATACTCGCTCTCATCAGCACGTGCAGATGTAGTAACATCCCACTTCTACCTTTTGCCTACGACTCCTTTTCTACTCGATACAAGCTTTTGTTTTACCACGTGCATTCACCTGTTTACGCTCAACCGCGGAATTTTCACTGGTCCCGTTGAGTCACGCTGCCCCGTTGCACGTGTAAACCTTCCGCTGCAGGTCTCGCTTTATAAACCGTTGTTCACGCGTTGTCCGTCTCCTTATTTGTTCAGAGCAATAGTCATATTTCTCTTCACCGTATCCAGGAACGTTGAGGTAATTTGCGCTTAGTTATTGGATATAGTGCAAGCTATCTAAAGTGTTGAGCCCGTACGTTTTTCAACGGACCGCAATATTTTTTGGCATTTTATGCCTTTTAACGGTCTATCGTTTTTGTGATCGGTCATTTCAAGCACGCATTAGCAGTATTTGCACTATGGTCTCGGTATCCGATAACCAAATATACGGACAACTCATTACCAGGCTGAGCCCTGCGCAAGTTAGGGCCTCGGAGGACATTATCCTTATGGACCCTAGAGAAAATAGGGATAGGCTCTTGAAGGAGCACATCTTCACGGAGGCTTGTACTTCTGAACGAAGAAGGCTAACAGAGGTTTGTCATAAGCTGACGCTCGTCAACAAGAGGCCTTCGATGCTTCTACGTGAAATGCGTCAAATAGCCGGGCCATCACCCACGCACAAATCACTTTTACAAGAACTGTGGGTGCAGCGGATATCAAAAGCCGTAAAGAACATCATCGTTGCTATATCTAACCTAGAATTAGACAAGTTAGTGGCTGCGGCTGATACTGTGCTGGAGAGACAACAGCTGCACGCAGTTACGCCAGTGGTTTCACCTATTGTGAGATACTACTCACTTGTGAGTAGTGATTGATTTCCACGATCAAAAACGAACAAGATCATCAGGGGAAATTAGCTGGATCTCAAGGAATACGAATGACTGGTACATTGCTTACCCGTCTTGTGAACATGAACGGCAATGGTATGTTTCTGATTAGGTTTTTGTGTTATGTATACAAAATTAATGACCTCCCACCTGTAATCCTCAATAAAATGTATCCTCAAGCATCACCGCCTTGTGGAAATATAGCACACCCTCTCCTGACTTAACGATAGGGATAAGAATCTCAACGAAAGAACGTCAGAGCAGACAGCCGGTAAGCGCGCAGCATCCAAACGCGGCTCTATTCAAACAATTCAAGGTCATTTGATCGACCCCCATTCTCCAAGCCATGCAAAAAATCCCACCTGGGGACCACAATTATTTCGCTTATTGAAGACCCTAAATAGAACGCCGGTTTCAATACGGCAGCCAAAAACCGATAAAAATTAGGGGGGAATTTATTTAACTTGAAAAAATAAAACAATTATTGATTATTATAAATGAAGGACTTCTCGGGAGGAAAATGTACCGAAACCAAATCTATAAGAAAGTCACCTTCCAAATAACTGTCAAAAGCTATTTTAAATACTCTTCTGAAACTTTCAACCTAGGATCACTGACGAATACGAAGTAAAACTAGTTTTTACGACGGGGTCTGTAATTATTTCCTCGGCAATACTATGGATTAAAATCCACCCTTGGAAAAGGCTCGACAACGAAAGTGGTAATGCTTCCACAAAATCCGATCACAAATGGAATCTATACCCATATGCTGCTTCATGAGGAGAATAATAACCCAAAGACAAATAAATCAAATTGGCATGGCCCAAAAGTACTGTTTTCAGTCACTTTGGCCTTTTGATGTCCACGCTCATCGAATGAGGCAATGCACACAAACGTATGCTTCCTTCTCACTGTAAGCAGCGGGACTGCTGTGTGTTCGGCGCCCACATTTCTGGCACTGGATTCATTGTTGCTCATCGTCCAAATCGAAAAAATCCGTTACGTGCAGAAACAGTACTCACACTTCGTTTCCCGTGCAGTAGCTACTTTACAACCCTTGCTCTTACTATCCACTACCATGGAGAACCCTCTCTCGTGAACAATTCTTTCAATCTTACATGACTTTCAGTTACTTGATAATATATTCCGAGCAAATGGTGTTACGTGTATGAGCAACGGTTTAAATGACTGTATGCCGCTGGGTGTCGGATACCTCCTCATGGAATCTTTCGCGAGGTGAATTCCATGCGTCACTTCCAGTGACCTTACTGGTTGTAGCACTTTCTCAAATACATCCACTTATGAAGACCGAGGAGAAAAACCTGTCTTGAGGTGCCTATTTTCCGTCTCCACTCGGTTGATAGTTAGGTTTACTAGAGTCAACCTGGACTTCACGGCATACCCTGCCCACTCCTCTTGGTATGGTAACCATGTTCGGCGTAAATAAACGCCTGCTTCTGTACTACGACTTTCTAGGGCGGCTAGGAATCTACGAAACGATACCTCACAATCAGAGTGCACCATGTCGCGCATTCATTGAACGATGCGCTGCTTTTCGAACGTTGGCCTACCAGATAGCTGGCTACATTTTTCTTTATATCCTTAACCAGATTAAAACGGCGGAATACCTTATTAGAGGTGGAAAATATTCTGAAAATGCGTTATGCTGATGCAAGCTACAATCAACTACTATAGTCTTGGATTGTGCCAAGGATGGGAACATAGCTCTTAAGGCTCCCGCGGCTGATCTATAGCTCTCATCACTCTCTTTCGGCAAGTTAGCTTAGTAAGCGTACAAAAACCGGTGTCGTCTACAAGCCTAGCGTGCCAAAGCACGTACCCACCACAGTTTAGTTGGTGCGTGGTATCTGCTAACAAAACATAATTAAACCTGTCGACGCAGTGCACCATAATCTTCGAAAAAAAATTAATGTGACGAACGACGCCTTCTTCCAGCTCTATCTTAATCTTTCCTTGATTCTCCAACATATTCCAAACGTTAACCGCATCACCACGTGAATCGGACTGAGATCCTCTTCAATGTATGGATCTAATATCCGCCGTAGTTAAAGACCTCTTATACCTTTGTGTGGTGAAATCCCTTGGCTTGCGAGTAGTTCTAAAAGTGTCCATCAAAGTATACACCTCGTTTTGTTCTTCAGATGGACGACGGTCACTTATATACAAACCCTTCTGATACACATTAAAGTCATGGTTATGCACCAGACAACGTTTCGTCACTCGGTACTCTCTCCCGACCGCACGAATTCCAACGAATGCCAAACAATTGATATTTTTCAGCCTAAAGCGAGTAAAATACATTAGAAATGAAAGTTTCAATC